AAACATTGATTAAAATCATGGGTAAAGCTCAAATCTGAAATTTCTTTTAATCTAAATTATTTCAAGCTTGCTAAGTTTTCCAGAGCCTTAAATTAAATGTTAATATTATCAATTTTTATATTAATTGGAAGTCTTTACTGGCCTTTTAAAAAATTATTTAAAAATACTTTATTGCTTGAATAGTTTATGAAGATAATTCGTTTTTCTCACACATTTGTATTATCCAGTATATGATTTAATAGTGAAAAGATGACCAGGAGAGGTAAGAAGAATTTTTCAAGAAGACTTTTTTTAAGATTTTGTGGTTCTTTGCATAGGTTATCATACTTGTCAGTAATGATAAGAAATAATGTCTTCAGTGTTCGGTGAAATATTAATAGAAGAATTGATAATCTTTTGGTTATTTTTACCTAGAATTACCTGAAGACCTCAGGAGACTACAAACTTGCAGGTGTTTTCCTTGGAGGTAAATTGCAAAGTTTGTGAATTCTTGTTAAAGACCCATTTTAATATTAAAATTGATTATGGAGTTAATATAAGAATTAATTTATGTTTAAGTGACCTCCTTGATGTTAAAGCACTTTACATACATAAAGCAAATTTAAACTTTGTATATTATAACCTAAAAATATCTCCTTTCATTTATTTTTGAATCACTGTTTTGTACATGATTCTTTCACAAGGAATGTCCTCACCCTTTTAAGTATTCCTCAAGAAAAAATTGCTTTTTTAAAAATTTGACTTAAGCTTGATCAGTGTTTAGCTTTTCTTAAAGCTGTAAGTTTCCGTGATAGATATTGCAGATTTGTTAATTGTCATCTATTGAAGTTACATAAATTTTTAACAAAAATGTTAAACAGTAAGTAAATCTAATTTTGCCACATCACACCTACTTTATGTACGTGTTTATATTTCAAACTGAACTTAATTTTAATTGATGTTAGGTCGTTCAATGGGCTCAAGAGCAGCTGCTTCTGTAATGTGTCATGTTGAGCCAGATGAAGCTGATGATTTTGTTCGGGGTCTCATTTGTATTTCTTACCCACTGCACCATCCAAAGCAGCAGCATAAACTCAGAGATGAAGATCTTTTTCGCCTAAAAGATCCTGTACTGTTTGTATCAGGCTCAGCAGATGAAATGTGTGAAAAGGTAAATTACAAATTGATGTTTGTATGAGTGAGAAAAAAAAGAAATCAAATATCTTGGGAGGAAGGTATTACCTGCAAGATTCAGTCTCTTTAAAAAGAGCTGTATGTCTATTATAATTTGAATCTATTTGTCCTCTATAATTCGAATGTCTTGAATCTGTTTCTCTTTAAAAAAAAGAACTTCTCTATTATAATTTATCTAATTTTTGTAATGCTAGACAATGCTAATCTAATGCTAGTTGTCCTTTTGTTAGACTGTCCTTTAAAAAACCTAAAAATATAGGCATATTGACAAAAATGCATATCCCCGGAGAGACTTGGTAAAATAGATTAACCCTTATTTTGGGAAATGAAGGATTTATATCTGAATGTTCTCATTTCTAGAGTGCACTTTTGGTTTATCATTTCTACATTCTGTTATAAAATTGACTCTTGAGAAAAGATTGGCTTGGCAGTATCCATTACTGAATAGTAGCCCAATATTATGAAACAGCTATTTCCCAAAGCATAGAACTTCCTTGGGAAAAAATTTGTTGTTTTTTTTTAATTTTTAAAGGTCTCTATTTTTGTCAGTAACAAATGCTTGTTCTGTCCTTTCATACCATTGTATTTGAGAGAAGTGGGGTGCCACTTCTGTGGACATTTCCTTACACATACCATTGCCTAGAAAGTTGTCTGGATAGTAGATAATGAGTACTTGGTGAGTAGATATTGGTATGGACGGGGAGAGAGAATTTTTTATTAAATGTGAAAAACAGTATGTCTAATATCCTCTTTGCTTTCCTCCCTTAGAACTTGTTGGAGAAAGTGGCACAGAAAATGAAAGCTCCCAATAAGATCTACTGGATTGAGAAGGCAAATCATTCCATGGCAGTGAAAGGACGGTCAACAAATGACGTTTTCAAAGAAATAAACACACAGATTTTGTTTTGGATCCAAGAAATCACTGAAATGGACAGGAAATAATTAGGTTAAAGCCATGTTATTTTGAATACAAATACAGTTAATTTGATAACAATATACCTCTCAGCATTGAGATATATTTCAGACTAATGTTCTTTAATGTTGCCCTATTTTTGAAACATTTAATTGTGAAATTAATATACTTTACAAATGTCTTTGAAAGCACTGTTATAGTTGTATGAAGATGTACAAATATTGAAGGTGGTCTAAATATAATTTATTTTTATTAGTATAGTTAAGTTTTGAAAAATATTAAACATTTGAATTTTGTTATAGCTGTGCTTTTGTCTTTATCTGTATGAGAAAATACTTATATTTTACGCAGCAGTGTCATCATTTTAAAAGAGAAATAGGAACTGGGATTGCAGCTCAGGGGGAAGAGTGCTTGGCCTAGCATGCACATGGCCCTGTTTGAATTCCAAGCACTACAAAACAAAAACCGAATTCAATGTATTAAATCTGATCAGAGATTTTTTTCTTCCATTAAGTTTATTGATACATTTTAGATATAAAAAACAGTTGCATTCATCATTGGGATGTTGTACCTTTACATGATGTATCTTGGTTCTTATTTTTTTCCCCTTCACCTGCTCTCCCTTCATCCCCTGCACCCTTCTGTATTTGCAAAGACTTTGTGTCCATTTTTTTCCTTTTCTCATATTTTTTCTTTTCCCTTCTTTCCTTTCCCCTACCCCTCCCTCCTCCCCTACTCCGTTAGACCTCTTCTTGATATTACACAATATCAATTATACATTTTTAAAATTACAGTATCAAAATTTAGAGGACATTACCACAGATCTTACTGAATTTAAAAGGATATAGAAAGCATATTACAAAAATCCTTTTTGAAATAAATTTGAAAACTTCTAAGGAGTACCTTGGAAGACAAATTAATGAAACTGACTCTGGAGGAAATATAAAATTTGAATAACACCTCCTAAGGTATATTCCTAGCTTGAAAATCTACTTATATGAGAACAACAGGCTCATAAACATTTTAACTTATGAATTATATCAAACATTTAAAGCAGGAAAAAGAAAACACGTCTCCCCTCATTTTAGGAAATCAACATTGTGCTAATATTAAAACTGGATAAAGATAATAGAAAAAAGTATGAACATAGATAAAAATTTGTTTAACAAAACAAACTACTAGAAGTCAGATCTGGCATTATGTAGAAAGTGGGTTTATTATAGGGATGGCCGTGTTGGTTCAGCATTAGAAGATACACCCCCATCATTTTAACAGGAAAGGAAAAAGCCATGTGATCCTGTCAGCAGAAAAAGTATTGGACTAAATTCTACAGCTGTTCATGGTAAGAGCTATCAGAAGACTAGAGGTAGAACAACCTTCTCAACGGATAAGACATGTACTCCATACTCCAGCGAGAA